CCGACATGTGGCCAACAGTAATGTTTTAATGTTCTTCGTTATTAAACATTTGCACATAAATAAGTGACATAATATTCAGTACTTAGTTTACTAAGTTACTCTTTGGGCGCCCCTCATCCACCGTTTTTTTTATTATAAATTATCCACACCCACCACCCCGCTATGCATTCTGGGATATGTTGGGCCACGAAGTCTACACCGCCACGTCCTTAAAATTCAGGGAAATGAAGGACGCATTTGAGGGCCGCATTTCGAGCAGCCTTCGAATTGGGACAGCCTTCGGCGCGTCGCTGTGACGTAATCGGCCTTAAAATGCGGCCTTTAAGGATGCAGACCCTAAATTGGGATACAGCCGGTGTGTGGGCGGGAGAGTGACGCAGGCGCTCCACCTCAAGTCACTACTGCGCAGCCTCTGGCTCCAAAAGTGCGACAGGGCAGCTTCCACAAGCGGGAAAATTCGGCTTCATTCTCACCATCTTTTATTGGTGAGAGCCCGAACTAGCATTAGCACAGACAACAATGGTAAGCCTCTACAAGTTTTTTTTCTCCATCCAATTAATAACCCATCTTACAACTGTATTTCTCTCCTTGATCCAGTCACCCGGCTCTGGACTTCCAGTAAGTGCCATGGCCTTTTCTTTCCCCACAGTTCAACTCTGGGTTTTCCTCTCTGTTTTTTTCTCTGTGTTTCTTGATCTTAGCAGTAGCTGCCTTCAGTCCAGTGGCTGAGATGGGAAAAAGAACCACGTGTATGGGCTCAAGTAGTGGTCATAAATATTTTGTACTTGTAAACAGACTGCATAGTTTTGAACTGCCTAAAATATCAGAAAATTTTAGGTTTGTGTATCTATAGATGAGAATTTGTGTTTATAAACAAATAATTACACAAGTTACAATTTTTACAGACCAAAGTTAAGGGACCTAGCTTGTATGAGCCTTATGGGTATTTATTTAGAGATCCTCCAGCTTCAAACTGGTTACCCTTCTAGGACCTGAAGCTCAGTAAAGCACCACTCCAACAGCCAAACCCATCTGTTCTCTGGTTGGATTATTAAATTTGTGATTGACATGACACTGACCACATCTTACATTTTGAAGAAGAAATAAGAAACATTAATTTGGTTAGTGTATACAGCGTATAATCTGTCTGTTCATCCAGCTTGCAACAGATTTGTTTACACTCACAATACTTTACTAGTATTTTTGTCTATACTAGTATCTTCTATTCACATTACTATTTACCATCTATGTTATTTCATTATAAGTTAAGTTTAAATCTGCTTTTCTCTTCTATCTCTTATTGTTTTATCAGACATGTCCCCCAACAATGCCCAGGACAAGATAGTCCCAAGAGGCTGGCTCACCTCCAGATCCTCCAAGTACCAAATTTGAACTCTCCTTTGAGAAGGGTCTTATGGCACATTTGCAAAATGTGTCGGTATGGCTGACAAAAAGGCTGTAGCCATTATGAAACACGAGAACCCAAAGACAAATTGGAAAACCAAGAGGTAAAAACTGCTCCCTAGAATTTCAGTTAGAAAGATGTGTGCAGTGGATGTAAGGATTGTGATGAAATGCCTATAAAATGTTTTTTTTCTGTTAAACTAATGTAAAAACTATCTCATGTTTCTAGCTCACTGCCATGTGAAAACGTAACACCTGTAACTCCAACAAACCAAATATATTCTTGAGTTTGAATATCTTTAAAAAGTCTTTTTGACTTCATGAAAGGAATAAATTTCAAACTGCTCAATTAAAAGGCAATTCGTCCCATCGCCGTGCAGGTATGATTAACTCCATGATTCTTTACATGAATGCTCTGAAAATGGATACTGATCAAATTTGAATCGTAACATGACATATTCTTTGATACCTCTCAGACTGGAATAGTGCTTAATCATCTCAAGTCTCTTGGAACAATACACGCAGACCCTAAATTATAAAATGTAATGTTGGTGAAATATCACCAAGAGCCGTACTGAATAAAATTATTGACTTTGACCTGGCCTATGACACCTCAGCTGCCAAAGTGGGGCTCTTACATTCAGACCTGTCCGTACTGGTAAGTAGCTGGAATCAAATTTAATCTCTTCCTCACACAGTCACACAAACTCCAGTGTTTGTGATTTCTGTTAGGGGTTTCTCAGCTGTAGTATAAATAATACTTATCCAAATGGTCAACATAAACAAAAAATGTGACAATCATTTCTCTTTGTCGTCCATCAGGTCTCCGGAGATTATTCTGGGGCTTCCATCTACAAAAGCCATAGATGTATGGTCCCTGGGCTGCGTGGCTGTGAGTCTGTACACTGGTAAGTGAGTATGCCATGGTAAGTAAAACAATACAAGAGCACTTTTTATTTCTTCTGAAGAATTTGATTTCAAGCTTAATAGAAAAGATTGATAACATAATGTATGTCAATTAAAAGTCTGTGCTGGACTCCTAGTTTGATTACATGTTCTGCTGTGCTCTCAGCTGACATACATGATGGAGACTCAAGGACAACCCCCAAAGAAAATTTCAGACTGTCTTTTCAGACATCTGAACTGTATTTCCAAGAGTCTGGGATTCAGTTCGTGGAGAAAAGATGAATAAATCTCTGGATGACCTCTTACATGTAAATATACTTTTTGACCATATAGTGGGCAAAAACAAAGTCTCTTTAGCTGTGCTGTGTTGCTTTCAGATCACCCTTTAGATCCACCCCACCGAGCATCAGGATTATGCAGATAAAACCGCAGAAATGTGTGATCTCCTGATGTTTGTTGAACTCTAATAGTGATAAGGTTATAAAAAATAATCTGGTCTTTTATTTTATTACATATTACTTTGCTTTATGTGAAAATGCTGTTATCATTTAAATGAGTAATTTAACATATGGCATGATTCATTGTCTGCAGCGTTAAGTCCTGCTATGAGCACATTAACAGCTTTAAAATAAAGAAGACAGGGATGTCAGATAGCGGGACAGAAGGGTGTGGGTCTCTGCACCAGCCCACCTCTGACACCAGACAACCTGCCCAACAGAACTCCCACCCTTGGCCTCCACCCTTCTTCTCAGAGGAGCAGCCTGAACCTCATCACGCCCAGTCACTGTAAAACTGCTCACACATTTCCAATATTTCCAGTCAAATCACACTTTAAAATAAAACATCTGGAAGAAGATAAAAAGGATACGAGTGACCCAGATCTTAAAAAAAAAAAAACAAAAAAAAAACAAGGACTGATTGGAAAGACATGAGCAGAAAAATACCGTACCAACATGAAAGGTCAGATCATGACCAGAAGAAATGCCATCATTCTACGGGTTCATCTTGTTCAACCAGTGGCTACAGGACACAGTATTCCATCTTGGCGAGTAAGAGGAAGCCAGACCAAAACTGCTTTGACAGGTCAAATGAGAGGGCCAGAGCAAACTACGAAGATGGCAGGAGCCACATGTCCGTTAACACCTTCAATCACAGTCGGGCTGAGGACCACCGCTGCAGAGAAGCAAAAGAAGGGCAAGCAGAATAACACTTGATTTTTCTTACATGACGTGAGTGCCTCACTTAATCTCACTTAAACAAATGTAAAACTTTTGTTTATTGAAAAACAGAATTCATCTCAGCAGTAATGAGGTCACTAAAACTAATATTGAATCAGTGCGTAATGTCACTAAAATTGTCAGACTCTATAGGTTTCCCTGGTCCCTTTCTCAATCTTGTATTTCAGTGATTCCACCACTGCACATCATTAATGTCTGTCTTCTCTTTCCACTAGTTATTTCTCATCTCTATACTCTCCTTTCTCTATGCTTTCACTTGATTGTCGGGGATTTCTCCACCTTATGGAGGGTTTTCAGCTTACAGTATAAAGTTCCTTCAGGCGAGTTTTGTTGTGAATTGGCATCACAGAAAAATTGAAATGATCAGTTTAATTTCTTGAAATAAAAATAAAGTTGTCTACATTAAAAAGCAAACAGTGTCCCTGTTATTGTAATAGTCAGCTAAGTAAGTTAGAAATGATAACAGCCAGACAACCGAGTGATATGCGTTATATATGGTTAAAATACACCAAATGCAGTAAGTATACTCGTTTCATATAAATATAGTCTATATTGGTGGATTTTTTGCTGCCGTCACTTCCAAAACTTTCCCCTCTAACTAAATAACCAAATCCCACGTGTTGCCAAATCATTTTTTTTTATTGGTCGACATGATTCACTTTTACACCAATAGGAAAGCGGTGGCATTTTTTTTCTGCTTTTCTTTTTTGTGCTGTCCTTGGAAAACACTATTTTTACAGTTTCTTCTGCGTTAAACATGACAATAGTATTCAGAAAAAAGCATTGTGTATATATTTATGATATATACACAATTGTATAGTGTTGTTTGACACATGAGCACACATGTGCAATAATGTTGTGGCTTTATGTTTTGGAGATGAAACATCAGATTTTATTAGATTTTATTTAGATTTTTATTATTACTGGGGGGGGGGGGGGGGGGGGGTTGTGGTAGGGTGAGTGTTGGTTTATTTATAGTGTTTGCTATGACTTGACTGGAATGCTGTACTTCAAGTAAGCAAACTTGCATATTCAGCATGAGATCCAATCAAAGGAGCTTGCAAAGAAAAGCGTCTGGACTTCTTTAAGTTACTTGAAGACTTTTCACCTCCACTAATTTTTGAGATCCAATAATTTTTCCTCAGTGTTTTAACTGAACTGTTTTGAACTTACTGTCATTTCTGTTTATTTCATTTAAATTAAGAAAAGGATTTTTATTTTAGCCACAAAGTCCCCACCCCAGGAAGTCTATGCAACAAAGATGACGACTTTATTGTGAAAGTCACAACCGGATGTGCTCTAAGTCATTTCTGGGTTTAACAGTTGTGAGGCAACATGGCGAACGCCGGTGGAATGACCGTGGATGGGGACCTGATGCGATACACTGAGTACTCTCCAAAAACCAGTGTTAGAAGTGACGCGGAGATAGACAGGCAGCTGGTAAGTACCTGTTTTAAATACTTGGGACTTTTGTGTCTGTCAAACTAAATCGAGGTGGTTTGATAGCAGCTGACGCTTCTGTTAAGTAACCTCAATGACCGCTAACGGCACGTCGGTTCAGAAGCTAGCGAACTAACCTGAGCAAAGTAAGCTTTAAAGGATGTCTCACAGGCATGAGCTTTCAGGGCTAATTGGTGCAATCTTCATTTTCTCTTGGTTAAACAACAGTAGATGAGGAATCGTAACCTGGTTAGCCACAACTAGCTACATGTGGGTTACATGTAGCTAGTTGTGTGTTACATGTTTGATGGGGTGGCTGTAGCTCAGGAGGTAGAGCAGGTCACCTACTGATCGGAAGGTTGGAGGTTCGATCCCAGGCTCCTCCAGTCTGCATGCCAAGTATCCTTGGGCAAGATACTAACCCCAAGTTGCTCTCCGATGCGTCCATCGGAGTATGAATGTGTGTGAATGTAGTTAGAAAAAGCACTAAGTATAGATAAAGTGCTTGTGAGAATGGGTGTGACTGGGTGAATGTGGCATGTTGTATAGAGCGCTTTGAGTACTCCGGGAGAGTAGAAAAGCGCTATATAAGAATCAGTCCATTTACCATTTACATGTATGACTCCAAGGAACAGTGACGTTTGTATGTCGATGGGTTAACACAGTGCAGGCCATGTGTGACAAGTGCCCTTGCAGAGCTTCTTTAGATGTCATTAATATTTATTGTGAGGCTTAAAAAATACGATGCAAAATATACCGAGGTTTAAACAGGGGAAAGGGGAAAGACACGCTTTAAAAAATGCACGTTTTCAGGTCCCATTTATTTAATTATGGAGGTAGGGCTGTTTTAAACGTATCTCTGGCATCGAGAAACGGTAAACTATCAGTATTAGAAAACTACCACTACTTCAATTTTCTATATTAAATATCTGGTACTATGAACACGGAGAAGCTCAAGTTACATTACTGGGATGATTTCTAAATATCTTATTGGGAAAATAAGAGCGATCACCATGATGAATATTGGATATAATGATGAAGAGAAATTTGTGCCTTCAAAAAAGTTCATTTGGATTTGGTACATGGTGTCATACTTGGTATTACAGGGAAGCTGGAAGAAAAGGTATTTTTACTTATTTATTTATTTGTTTTTATTTATTTATTTTGATAATGAGGCTTTAATATCTGTGAAACCATTTAGTTTCACATTCATTTGGACTGTTTGGGGGGGGTGCCTCGAATATGAGAAATTGTAAACAACAATCGGCAACACGCCTCGAAGTCTGTTTTTAGATATCGGAGGTCCAAACAGTTTGGGCTCGAAGCATCTGGCATTCTGGCATAATTACTCACCTTGAGGTCTGTATTCGTAGCGCTATAGTACCAGACATACACCCTAAAAAATTGAAGTGCCTAGCTCAGTGGTTCTTAACCTGGGTTCGATCGAACCTTAGGGGTTCGGTGAGTCGGTCTCAGGGGTTCGGCAGAGCCTCCACCGTGACATGCACGGCTCATTTTGTGCACCAATAAAAAACATATCTATGTCTTGAATTTGAAAAAAAATCATATTTTATTTTTCACTAAAGAGGGGTTCAGTGAATGCGCATATGAAACTGGTGGGGTTCGGTACCTCCAACAAGGTTAAGAACCACTGGCCTAGCTGAAGTAAGTTTTTAGATAATAGAAGTTTAAAATGGCCATTCAAAAATGATGCAAGAAAAGCATCATTTTTGGCCTATTTTTCTCTGTAGAAACATGACGAAAAGCCAGAGTCAGCTTTGAAGCTATGGATCATGGGAGGGGATAGAGAGAACTCCAAAGGAAAAGGTGTCTGTTTTAAAGCAAAGGTTATTTGCTTTAAAACACTGTAAACATGATCAGCAGACACAAGTCAATAAAGTTTAACTTTAAATAGTGAAGTTACTCAAGTAGCTGTGTCGAATGACCTGTCTGACCCAGTGTGCTAACAGCTGTATGTTTCGTTTTTGGTGACAGGGACGGACATTAATTGCAGTTGGTCTTGGTGTGGCTGCAGCAGGGTTTGCAGGTAATAATGGTTTGATTTTGAATTAGATTTTTTGAATTTCTCTAGTTTGAAAGCTTTCTTCTTTTTTTTTCTGGTTTAAAATTCTTGTGCATATCTTGTGTTTAATCTACAGGCCGGTATGCTTTCCACCTTTGGAAGCCTCTTGGCCAAGTCTTCTCTGAAACTGTGAAGAAGATGCCTTCGTCAGTAAGTAAATGATGAACATCCTGCACATCCACTGTAATGCTTATATCTACTCCAGGTGAATAATTGCTACACACTGGGCCACGTTAACATGTCAATCTCAGATATTACAGGCAGGTGGATTCAGAAAATACTGGACTTGAGTCTTTTTCACCTGTCATTACCCAAACCATGTAAATAATAAAGGGAACTATTTTTAGGTTTCATGAACTTTTATGCATTTTTTTTTTGCCTGCGTGTGCACTTGTGGTATGGATTCTATGTGCTGTTTTTTTTTATAAATGTTCAGCATTTGTCACCCTGAATGTTTCACACGTCATTTAAAAAGTGTTTGAAATATATTCCTCCTCAGACTATTAACCTTTTTAAAGAAAGCCAGAGGGTGCTGTTGCTTTAGCCTGTCTTTAGAGGAATGATCTAAAAAAATCTGTTCTATCATAAAGTTATTTGGCATACATAATCAAAGGTCTAATACTGTGGTGTCTCCTCAGACTTTTTCATCATACTACAAAGGAGGTTTTGAGCAGAAGATGTCCAAACGAGAGGCCAGCCTCATTCTGGGCATCAGGTAATGCATCTTTTTGGTTTAAATAATCTTGGTCTTCTAAAATGTGGCATATTTCTATCATTTATAATTAATCACATGGATGTATTATGTTACATCCAGCCCAGCCAGCACTAAAGCCAAGGTACGAGAGGCCCATCGGAGGATTATGGTCTTGAACCATCCGGATAAAGGTAAACCTAAACCAGATCGATCTGTTATCTGCGATTATCTGTGATATTAATTCAAGAGATAAAGTTGCCTCTAACCAAAACCTGTCTGTTAGACTGCAGGTAGAGCCGGTTTAGTGAGTTGCACCAAAATTGTTTTTGTGTTTGCAGGTGGTTCCCCGTATCTCGCTGCCAAGATCAACGAAGCTAAAGACCTTTTGGACAAAGAGACTCGCCGATGATGCACACTGTCAATGAGCACTAAAGACTTTCAAACCCCCTCAGCTTCAAAGTACTGCTCGAATGAGGATGAATACCGTACAGGGGAAACCGCTAAAGTTCAAGAGGATCGTTAAAAGGATTCTTTGTTAAGCTGCCAGAGTAACTTGTGTTTAACTGAATTTGTCACCCCTGTGATTATAAGGTTAATACATCCTTAAAACTACCTGCTGTTATTTTACACGTAGAAGTAATGTGTTGTATTTAAATGAAGGGGTTTGAAAAGGATATATACACCACCTAGTGGCAGCTGGCTGAAAATGGAACAGTAATTGTGCTAAGTTCATTATTGGCTGTGTAAATATAATGAATAAGGATCTATTTAAGCAGCAAGAGAACAAACTCTGTTTTCATATTTCAATGTTTTAATGTGGAAGTTAAAAAACTTAATTTGCAAATATTCACAGTAGGATCTATTTTTAGATGTCAGTGCACTTCTTGAAATGTATTCAATTGAAAGTTTCAGAGCTATCTTACAGCTGTTCTATTAGAAATGTTGAACAATAAGCTGCCTTTGGCAACTCAAACCTTAAAATAACCATACATTTTGTAATTTACCTGCTGTTTCTTTACCTGTAGCCATACATTTACCCATTAATCTGTTTCATGCAAAAATTGTCATCGACAAAAAATCCATGAAGTTCAAAAGCTTTATTTAGAGAAGGATGCTGTATTGATGTCATGGTACATGTGAATAGACAGAAGGAACAAAGCATATAGCAATTACACTTACAGCAGCAATTATTGGTCAAACACCAACCAGTTACTGAGAGGTTTGCTTGGGAAATTTCAGGGGAAAAAAAAAAAAAGAATCCGTCCTTTTGGGATGTTGCTACGTTGGCTAATGACAACCAGATACTGGCCTCTGAGTGAACAGCACATGGTCTGATTTCCACTATGATAGGAAGTTTAACGTTTTAAGTCCTTGACAGACGTAAGAATCATGAACACAATGTTACGACAGTGATGGATGACATGTCCCAGAGACCGCATAAACGGGAAATAGTTAAAGTCCAACTGAAATGAAAAATAAATCGCTCTCCTTTATGCACATTTATTTGTTCAAATGTGTAACTACAGATATGAAGGCCCAAAACCCTCCTCCACAAGAGTTTAAAAAGGATACAAAAACAATATTTTGAAGAAATGTTTTTAAAAGAAAAAAAAAAAAAAAAAACAGGGGGCAGTGTTCTAACAGCCAAAACCCTAAATATATATCTGGATATAGCATGTCAGTCCATGATCAATATAAAACTGTATTAAATGAATAATCTGACATTTACATTTTGATATACTTTATTACATCACACTAACCGTTGTAGTCACACACACTGCTCGACCCCAGCTATGGTCAGAGTGATCCAGCTCCTTATCCTGGATCATGACTCACGTACAGGAAAATGGGATCACTTGAAAAAGAAACTACACCCACTCATTTGTACAAAGCAGTGTGAGAACTGCTGACTCAGCCACACTAAAGCTAGCCATGTCAAACAGTCTCTGCCTTCACTGTTGAGTTAAAACTCATTAGCATAAAATAATGGTAGCTGCTCATCCAGAAACCGAAGTATGCACATTCATGATCTTTAAAACAGTACCTGATGGTGTGTCTTGATGAAAAAATGGCCTCCTAGAAACTGAATCATAGACACCTTTTCCTACTCTCATGTTACTTTGTTTAAACTACAGATGCAAAGTTTGCTGGTTACTTAAGTCAGTCCTTTAGTACATGTTTACCTTTACTAAGATATTTGCAGGAACATAGCTCTGCCATCTACAAAGTGGCTCATGTAACATAAAATGAAGCATCTGAAAAGCTCTGCTATGCTAATGCTAATGCCTGTCTGTGAAGCCCTGCTCTTGCAGGTCAAAGTTGTTGTTTTTTCCCGTGTCCAAGAAAATAAAGTTGGACTTTTGCGTTTATGTTTTTTTATATTAAAGCAGAAAGAAGTTCATCCAAATAAGAGCCTAAAAGCCATTTTCGCTTAGCATAATTTATCTGAGTATTAGTTAACGCAGTTTACTACTCTGATGCCACTTTCTGTGAACCCTTGGTAGCAGAAGGCAGGTGTCCTTATTCTATATATGATGTACCGTTTAAGGTGTAACAGGCTGTATTCCTGCATTATTCATTATTATAAGAGTTTTTATTGCTGGAAAAAAGGAATGACACGTGTAGCACGCCGCTAACATGAGGCTAGGAATAAGGTGATTAATGTAGAGAAAATTTTAAACTTCAGGCAGACTTTAAAACAAATTACGAGTATAAACATTTTACTTTACACCGAATGAAATTTGTTCCTGGTGCCTTTTTGAACTTTAAACATTTCCTCGAGTTCCAGAAAGCTGGACAGAAGATTTTTTTCCAGCCTGTTTGTACTAAAGTATCAGGACTGTTGATGCAGGAATGAGACCAACAGGAAGCTGGGGTAAGCACCATAGAAGCTCTGTCTACTGTAGGGATTGAGGAGGAGGAGGAAGCAGTTAGATACAAGCTGGGACTATTTTCACCTGAAATGGATTATTTTACAGTTGATTATCATCAAAGGAGTAGACATTCCAGTAAACAATTCCAGTATTTTACATTTGTTATGCCTGATCTTCCAGAACCAGATGGAGGAAAGGTGTCCAACATGTTTATCCTCTTGCAGGAAGTGTTATGCAGTGATGCTGATGGTGCAGTGTAGTCTTAATGTAGGGAAAAGCCGCTGCAGTAAGAGAAGCAGCCGACAGAAGGCGATCCTGCCTTAGGCGAGAACACGAGAGGTCTGTAGAAATCAGCAGCCCTTCGCTGACAGGCTTCATTAAGGCTGCTCGGTTTAACATCGTCAGCGATCCATTAGCAATCCTGTGTAGCCCTCTCCAAATCTTCTTCCTGCTGCCCTACATCCTCCTCCTCTTCATCTTGGTCTTCTTTCTCACTAAGTTCTTCTCCAATTACATCTAGTCTTGCATCTTGCCCATTCAACACTTCTTCCTCGTCCCCATCATTGTGCAGCCTCGCCTCCTGCAGTTGCAGCCGCCGCTCTTCCACCAACAGGAGGCGCTCTCTGACACCCTCTGCTGCTGCCGCCGTGTCAGTGGGACTCCCAAAGAACTGCTCGCTCCTGAAATCACAAGAACCCCGATTATGAGTTGCTTTTACATCATTACTGACAGGGACTAGAAATAGAGAGCATCCCATATCGGCTTCTCTTCAATGGCTCCCAGTTAAATTCAGAATCAAATTTATAATCCTTCCTCTCGCACACACGGTCTTGAATAACCAGACCCCATCTCATCTTAAAAACCTTATAGTACCATATCACCACAACAGAGGACTTCACTCTCAGACTGCAGGCTCACTTGTGGTTCTTAAGATATCTAAAAGTAGAATGGGAGGCAGAGCCTTCAGCTTTCATGCGAAATCAGCACTGTTCTTTTAATGATTAGTAATTATTAATCTGTGGCTCTCTTCCACAGTCTGTGTTTTATCCTCTCCTCCCTCATCCCCAGCTGATTGTGTGAGATGGCCACCCCTCTCTGACCCTGTTTCTTCCTATTAAAAGAGAGTTTGTCCTTCCCACTGTTGCTAAGTGCTTGCTCAAAGGGTGTCGTTTGATTGTTGAATAAAACAGAATTTAACTGAAAACTGAACTCATCAGGTTTGATAATGCAGGCATGTTTCAGAGGACCTTGCTGCGACATGACACCTGTAAGCCATGAGGTAGTTTATTACATTTCTGTGTTGATAACTGGCTCTTTATGTTAGGTTTATGCCAGTAATTACTGGTAACAAAAGCAAAGTGAATTCATGTGGTTCTAAATAACCAAATAAGTGTTTGCATGATTTAGGATAGCATTAAACATATAAAGTCATAATTCAGGTAAGTCAAATGAATGTGTACGTACCCATCAGGGAAGATCACAGGCATGGTCAGTCTGTCCAGCAGAGTTTTGCCCAAAGAGTCGACTTCATCTAAAGACTCCGCCTCCACACGTTCCTGCTGTAACACCTGGACCATAGTAAACATACAATTTAGACTTTAGACACTGATGTAACATCTGACAGTTTAAAAGTGTTTTTCTCACCCTCTCAGCAGCAGTGTGGAAGTTGAGAGCCAGCTCCAGTCTCTGCTGTCGCTCCTCGGCGCTGACGCTGAACTGTTTCCAGACTCTGTTGAGGCGAGGCAGAGTGTCTCCGGACGAGCGCGTCGTACAGCGCAGAGACTGGCAGAGGACGACGGTGGCCTGCAGCAGCTGGCGGCCATAATCGTAGGTGCTCTGAAGGAACAAGAAGACAGAAACATATTCAGTTCAATAACATCTAATATTAATATTTAAATATAATCTGTTAGACTGACTGCACTTCATTTTGTGCAGACATTCAGACAGAAACGGCACCTGGATGATGAAACCCGAACGACATTTGTGATCCTTTGGCATCATTAGCTTCACAGTTTTGGTTTTGAGTAGCCAGCCTTAAACTAGCAAATAGATTTCCATGAAACTGGTTTGGACACTCTTCCAGCGAGATGAAACTAATTTAGTATGGCTTCTTTGCAAAATGTTTCAATTTTCAACTACTTGGAGAGTTTGAGTGTCTATTAAGGTCATACTAAAGCATCTCCTCTTGAATTGAAGTCCAGACTTGACTAGGCAACTCCAAAAGAATCATTTTGTTTTTCGTGTTTTGGACTTTCTCCAGGTGTTTCAGATCATGTTCCTTCTCCAGGTGTGCTTGAGCTTGTCCTGAAGCAACAAAGCAACCACAGACCATCAAACTACTACCACCAGGTTTGACTGTTGGTACGTTTGTTTTAGTAAATGGTGTGTTAGTTCCACTCCAGATGTAAAAAGACTCAAACCTCACAGAAAGTTAAACTTTTGTCAGTCTACAGAATATTTTCTCAAAAGTCATTAAGATATTTTTTGACAATTGTGTGACGAACCTTTGAGTTCTTTTGGTCAGCCTTCAGTCTCTCTCATTGTTAAAGCATGAACTCTGCCCTTAACTGAGGCAAAGTGAGGCCTGCAGTTCTTTAGATATGTTGTTCTGTGTTCTTGTGTGAGTTCCTGGATGAGTGGTCGCTGCACACTTGGAGTAATTTTGGTCAACAGGCCATTCATGAAAGGTTTGCCACTGCTTCAAGTTTTCACAATTTGTGGATAATGGCTCTCACTGTGGTTCACTGGAATACCAAAAGCCTTAGAAATGACTTTGCCTCCCTCTTCCTGCTCCAACACACCCACCCACACAAGTAGGGCCTTGGGGTGCGGGTGTGTCACCAGGGTGCAGGGGAGGCATGTTCTTGGTGTCCGGGGATGGGCGCTCAGGTATGTACCAGCTCACTCCCGGTGACTACTTGGCGGGGCCTGGTGCCTGTTGCTTGGTCAGGCCTCTTCCCGGGCAAAGGGGGCCCTCGGGCCTCCGGGCTCTGGGCCTGCGGCTCGGTTCACTCTGGCACAGCTGGCTGCCGGCAGAGCCGGCAGGCACACCACTGCAGCCCCCTCTGGCTTATGGTCCGTGGCTACTGGGTGACCCCTCATCTGGGGCTCTCCTCAGCCCTTCCCATGAGGGTGGCACGGATGCCCCTCCGGTGGTCCTCCTTGGGCTCTCGCACTCTGGGGCCTCTGGATGTCTGGGGCCTGGATCTCCTCCATGCCTGCTTCATGCCCTGGGGGACGGGGCTATGGCTCTCTACACCCTCTAGCAGACCATTACATGGAGAAACCTTTTGAATTGAAGCGTGCTGATCCACACAGGTGTGCACACGGGTATTCACTGTTCATAGACATAAACTACACTTTTATTGGCTGCTATTCCCAAGCACATTGTGCGCTGTCTGTCCTACGCGCTGCACAACAACATTCAATATTTAGTATTTACTGCTGTTTACACTTAGCTAGACTAACGTGATGGTGTTGTGTTTAGTATGTTGCTGTTTTTTTTGCTTGTTTTCTTCTTTTTCTCTCAAAAGGTGATCCAGGAGATTTTTTTGAGTCTTGATTCAGCAGCTCTGGCAGTTCTCAGGGTCGTCTCTGTCTAATATTTAAATTTGTTTGATGGTTTCCAAAATTCAAGTGTGAAAAACACACAAAACACTAAGACATGAGGAATAAGGCAAAAACGTTATGAGCACTGTCATGCTGATGTTTAGGTACATCAGCTGGATTTTTTACGTTAGCTAAGGATCAAGTGAAGCGTCTCACCTGAGCGACATCCACAAACTTCCTGTGTTTGTCCAGCATGGTCCTGGTCTCCTGAGAGTCGTCTCCCAGTCTGACGTGAGTCTTCAACAAGGCGTCCAACAACTCACTGAGCCACTCCACTGCCTAACCAGATGCATGCACAAATTAATCATAACATAAACACATGAAATCCACATATGCATGTGTGTTTTGTTGTGTTTTGTGTTGCATTCCTCACCTGCAAAGCGTCTTCTTCACATTTAAACAGTTGGACCATCTGTAGCATCTTCAGCCTCCTTACGTCCACCATGTCCTCACATCTGCAACACACACAGTTAAATATGCCTTCAAGTCTGGAAAACAAACAACAGAACAGATTTTCACACCACATGCTCTTCCTGACACAACACCACAGGGAACTGTGTCTAATCTCCTGGGGGGGTTTGCTTGTTAGGTAATTGTGTAAACTGCTGCCACTACCACAAACAAACCACATACCTCAGAATCTGAACCATTAATGGAGATGCAATACACATTTTGTCCTGAAGGTGGAGCCAGAGGACAGAGAAGAGAAAAGTTTAATATTTGAACAAAGTTTCTCATTAGAACAGCTCCCTTTTTTGTGGGTGTAAATGAGAAAACCCAGAATGTAGATGAAGCCCAAAGCTGGAAAGTTCACTGTGCAAAACATTTGATATTTCTGGAATTTTTTTAAAACATGATATTAGCCTTGTTAAAATATAAAT